TCTCTCTTCTACACACCACATCCTTGACCCAGTAAAAAAGTTGAAGTGCCAGTGAGGGAATGCCTGGGGTCAGTTTTCCAGGAGTGTTACTTCTGAACTATTTATCAGAAAAATACAAAGGCCTGAGCCAAGTACCTTTAATTCAGTACTGATGCCCACTTGCTGAGCACTTACTTAAAAATAATGTTTCTACTCAGTTTTCATGAAGGTTATTACAATAAAACTCCTTGTACGTTTTTTCAGTAGCATCTTGGGAACTTGAAAGAAGGTGATAGCACAGTGGGGATAGTTATCTGCAGTTCCTATCTACAGTAAGAGCTCTGCTGATATTCTATATATGCTTGCACTGCCACTTACTTAAATGCATTGTTAAATTGAATTTAAAGTTTTGCTTTTATCTCTCTTACTGTGGTTTGTTTGGATTGTTAGTTTGTTTGTTGTGAATTGGTTCTTTGGTGGGGGGGCGGGGGGGGGATGGAGGTGGGGGGAAATGATGCAAATTCTATCCTGCCTCTTTTGAATTTCACTCATTCTGGTCACTTGTATTTGTCCACAGTAGAGTATCAAGAAAGATCAGACAGAGGGATGACCTGGCTCATTCAGGTACCCTTTATCCTGAAATGGAATTTGCATGCAAATTAAATTTTAGGTATTGCTGAAAACTTTGTTTCTTCCAGTTCTACTTTGCACAGTTTTAACAGTGAACATGGAAATCTCCTGTCCTCTTGTCCCCCTTTTAGCAGTGACTGAGCCTGCTCAGAGCTCAACCTGAGCCCATGAGAAGAGACATTTACAGGCAGAGACCAGAATGCTTATCTGGCATAAATCATTGGCCTTTAACCACAGAAGGTAGATACCAGTTTAGGATGAGAGTACTTCTAACTCATAGACACAGTTTCTGCAGGATGCAGTCGCTACAATTTTCCCTACTCCCTCATTTCTAATTTACCTCATTTTGTTTGGAGAAGTGAAAGTCAAATTGGCTGATATATTGGCACAGAAATCAGTATGGGAGTAGCATGATACCAGACCAAGAAGTGCCAGAGTTAGCAAATAGATACCATGACTTAATTCTTTAATTATCTCTTCTGGAGAGAAACACTGCTGAAGTCTGAATATCATAAAGCCCTTAGTGAAACTTGTCTGAAGTTGATTCATTTGGGTTCTTGTTGAGCTCGTTCCTCAAGCCTAATCTGCATCTCTAATTGTGTTTTATGTGCTTCAAATACAGCTTTTATTTCTACCATTGCATAGAATGAGTCAGTAGTTATTTTACAGCTTAGAATAAATGCTCTGCTTATAACATTTCAATAAGCCTATATGGTAGTTCAGTTGTCATTCAGGCAAGAAACTGAAGACTCAGTCTTCAAGCTCAAAGGTTTAGGAGTGATTTCCATACTCTTATTTTCAAATACACAGAAGAGTGAGGAAGGTAGAACTCCCATCCACCTACATGATTTCTTTGTCTTTAAAACAGAAGTACAGTCCTTGTTATTCTGTTCTTGAAGAATTAAGATGTTTGTTAATTTGGGCCTTATGTAGATGAACTTTTAAAAGTGCCAGACAGAGTTGTCATGCCAAAATAGTTCTACAATCACTTAGTATAAAAGATAAGCCGTCACCTCCAAAACTCTTTAAATGGAGAATCTCCCTGTGTCTGGGAGTATAGGAGAGATACATGCTATTGATGTTTCTTTCTGTGCTCTGAACAAAAATTTGGCCTTTTTTTTTTTTCTTTTTCATTTTTTTTCCCCCAGAGGATAAAAATCCGCTTCTTCTGTGCCCAGTCCTGGTAAGCTTGCTTCTATTTGTGTAGAATCATGACATTTTTCCACCTGAGCTCTGAGGGAGGCAGTACTAGACTTATCTAACCTGTGCAGATGTCAGTGAGGTGCTAGAGAAAACCACTGCTCTCTAACTAAAGGACAGGGCACATATTGATATAGCACATATTGATAGGGTACAGAGCAAGTTCCATTTGCTTTGATCATGTGTTTTCATGTCTATCTGAACCAAAGCAATGCACTTGGCAAAGCTGTGCATGTGAAGCACCTGTGTGTACTCAAATGACTTTACAAGAGATAAAATGGATGCAAGGAAATATTTTGTTATAAAGCAGCTAACCCTGAGCACATCACAGCAGTGAAAGGAAAACAGATCCTCTCTGGTTTAATGGCATTCCTGTGAATACTCTGTTTTATATGATATATTTGTGCATTTATAAGAATCTGGTACATAAACAGGAGACACATTTACTGCCAGAAGTCATAGAAAGATGTGGGAAAGGTGGGAATGGATTGTGTTCATTTGTATGAGTACAAAACAATGTCCAGCTGAAAGCAGGAGGAACATGAAGAAAGTAATTTCCACTGGGTCTTTCTCACCTCTCAGAGGTCTCTGTCCACAGGTAAAGTGGTCTAAGACTGGGACTTCTGTCTTCTAATGACTTCTGGCTAAGTTCCCTATTACTGAAGGTGAATTAGCATAAACCTGGTTAATCTCAGATGAAATTCATATTCTTTTTAATCTTATGCTCCAGAACAAAAGAATTAAAATCTGTGAATGTTCCAGCCTTGCAAGGAGTGATAAAAGATCATGCTAATACCCTTGAACATAATCTATTACTTTTATTCCCTGCACAATACATTATTTTACTCTAATGTGCACATACAACCCCTCTTTACATTCTTCCAGCTTTTTTAGAGTAATGCCACGTTCATCTGCTGAAGGTCAAGCTGAGAAAATGGAGGAAACAAAGCAAGTGCTGTTAGAAATCCCATCACTTTGTGTTGGGCTCCCAAACAAATGGGCATTAGCTGAAGGTACAGGTGCTTGCCAGTTCATTAAATTCTTTCACATGCCTGGTATCTTATGTATTATTGCATTCAGTTTAATATTTATTAAGTTATTGGTGTGTAATTGTTTTCATATATTTTTACATTAAATATAGAAGGAATGGGTGTTATCTCTCCCTGTGCTACTTCCCTGGGATCGGCCACTATCGAGATAATTGTCTTTTATTATGGTGAGTAGTAATCTGTGTGCAATAAATCACATTTTATCAAGGAGTAAAATTTGAATTTGTGTCTTTTAAAGACCTGTTTGGGTTTCTTTCTCAGTGTCTCATTTGTAACTCTTCTTTGTAACTTGGGAGTTTCATGACTCGGAGCAGCACCAGAGCACAGATGTGTTGAGATTGTTGCTTTCTTTCATTTCATTTAAATTGAATCCCTTTTCCAAACCTCTAGAAAACAAATTGCTAAAACACACCTTTCCCTTATTAAATACCTCCTGCTTTTTCTTCAGTTGTGAAATAGTTACTTGTTCCACCAGAGTCCAAAAAGTATACAAATTATAATAGGTATATAAATTGTACAATATGCAAAACAAAATCCACAACCAAATTTTAAAAAGAAGGAAAATATTTTTCTAGAAATTATGTTAGGGCATTAAGGACCATACAAATTGCTTTTTCTAAGAACTCATTCAGACAAAATAGTTTTGTTCCAAATGTACAGACAAATAATTATTCTATAGCTTACACTACCAAGAATTTATTTAATCAGATAAATATTAATTTAATTACATATTTACATATGAATTTCTAAAATGGATGAAGAATCAGCCTTATGGTTCATATTGCTGAAGTTGCATAGTTTCTTTTTTTGACTATGCATGAGAATAACCTGGTTGAATTGTTGGAATGTATTTCTTGAAAGCAGTGAGATAACCAATGGCCGGGATAATGCAGAGTAGACAGATTTACACATCATTTCTTCCCTGCTTCTGCTCTTCAGGGGAGTGTTTTTCACAGCACCATCCTGACCACTCAGAAATCTCCTGAATCTCTCACATTCCTGATGTCGTAACAGGGATAAGCATCCAAAATAGGGGTAAAAGTATCACAATAATGGTGAAAGATTGAAAGGCATTGAAAAAAACTGATTAAGAGATAATAAAATAAATAAAATTATTTTAAATTATTTCTTTAAATAAATAAAATTATCTTTCCCCAGTTAAAAAGTAACGGACCTTGTTTGAGGAAGAAAGAAGTGAAATATTTTATTTCTCATTAATTTTTATCTTTATTAAGCCTTCAATCTATTTTTTTAAAACTACTTCTAGACATTAAATGAATTGTGCAAAGGTATTTTGTTCCAGGTTCTTACCTGATTCTGATTCCTTGAGCTGTCTTGTGGGAGTATTAAGATGAAATGTGAGGAAAGTCAAGAGATCTCAAAGCAAAGTGAAAAATAGAAACAGATGCAAGATTGAAAGATTTGGGCATGTCTAAAAGAAGGGACAGTCAGAACAATTTGTGTACATGCACAGCAGTTTGCCTCAATGGAAAATATGTTCTTCTCTATACTGGAAATGAGATAAAAATAATAGCACTTCAATAAACAGGCAAGCCTGAGAAAATATTTAATCTGAAAGGCTAATTGATATTCCACTGCAACAAAAGGGTGGTTGTGAGACCACCACTGGTTTAATAACAGGTTAGAGAAATGTGTCTGAAATACTGAGAATGTCACACATCCATAGGGTTGCCCTGAGTGTAGCCCAGAGATGAATCCTCCAAGTCTTTTCTAGACTCAGTGTCTAAGACTTTAAATTGATCCTACTGGTAAAATGTAATAGAAGGACTTAGGATCTCGTTATGACCTAAATTCCTTCATGAGTACCACTGCATTAAGGGTCAGAGGTATCCTGGATTACCAAAACATTGGGTAAATTAATTTTAATGCTCTAATTTCGTGAGGGTCTGCTCCATAATGGTAAAGACAAGACTGGAATTCACTCTCCTTAAAAGAAAAGAGGAGGAAAAGAATTTTCACTCTTGACTGACTGAGAAGACTATTAAAAAAATCAGAATTTTTTTTCATTCAGTTCTAGGAAAGATGGTTCATTGTGATTATCTTTCAGTTCTGTGTGCATTTGATATAGAAAAATCTTAGAGGCTTCCACAGCAGTTATATTTGACTCTGCTGCCAGAGCAGTTTTGTTCCAGCTGTCCAGCAACAGCTCTGGTTCAGAGCCAAAGCTGCTGCATAAAGCCCAGCCTGAAAAATCATATTTAGCTGGAGTGGATTGGACTTCAGAGAAGCTCTATATGAGCAAGTCAGAGTGTGCAGACAGTATTAGCAGACAGGAATAGCTGAACTTAGATGATGCAGAAGCTATTTATGGAAAATTAAGTTACATTAGTAGCTCATCTGAGAGCAGCAGAGTTTCTGTTTGCCAGACATTTTGACTTGAGAGAAGCAAGGCTGGCTGACTTTTAAGGACAGAGAGAAAGGCAGGACAAGGTTCAGGCACAGTTTCAGTAGAGAAGATCTCATCTAGGAGGAGAAACTTTAATGGTTGCATTATTAATCTTTACAGGTCTTTGTGTAAAAATGAAATGTGTCATGAGAACAGGGATTCCAAAAGGCGTGACACCCACTATACTGAGCACTGAGCAGCTTGTGCAAATACAAGCTTGAATAAAAAATTATTACCTGAATCTTGAAGACTCTACCCTCTAAAGAGGCTGCAAAGCCTTGAGGAGACACCTGAGAGCATCCATTGTCTGCTGGGCACATCCCCCTTGGTGACAGTGACTAGTGGGGTTTCTCCTGCATGAACTGTGCAAATCTACAACTGTCTTCAAGACTGACATGTAAAAATGCAAGCAAAAGATAAATGACAAAAGTGAGGTAGAGGTCAAAGGTAAATATGCATTTTTGCAATATCATTTCTGATGAAGCCAAACATTAAAGGCTGGGTACTTCTGGAAAAAACACTGTAATTCCTTTTCAGTGGTTACAGAAGCTGTGAGCTTGCTAAAGCAGCCTGGGATGCTCAGTGTATTTGCTTCAGTTTTTATTCCTTGCAGCAGTTCTCCATAGAACACACTGCAGACAAATATCTGAGGATCTTTTTTTCTCACAGAATACACCAGAGCTGGGTGCTTGAGAAGAGAAAGTGCTAAAGGTTTACTTCAATGGGAATGTTCCCCGACGAAGGTGAAGACTTGACCCAGAAAGGTTTGAGCGAGTTTCTGAACAAACTGAATTATCTTTTGTGTTTTGCAAACATGGGTCAGCTAAAAAAAGTGTAAAAGTTTAGCTCCCAGACCACATGTTTGAGTGGAACTATTTCATGTTATTCCTTTAAAAAACAGCCCTTCTATTTTACTTCCAAACTGCAGTGAAATGTTATACTCTAAATAAAAACTGTCTTTAACCCTGCATTTTGTAAATGTAGTGCATTAGCCGGAGCAGTTACTTGTTGTTTAGATTTTTATTAATTCTAAACTTACCTCTTTTCATGGAGCTCTTTTCATTCCTCTTCTACTTGAATTTATCGGCACAGTAAGAACATGATATTTTCTCAGCAGTTGCTTCAAAGTTTGGGTCTTATCCTTTTATTAGAGAACATTCATATTGAGCAATGTACCACAGTTGAAATGAGGATACAAAATGGGTTTGGTCATGAATAAGGAAGACTTGTTTCTTCTTCCAAAGCTAAACTGTCCACATCCTGATTCAATAATATTCTTATCTATGAAAATATTCATTTCCTTATTCTGAAATATGTTTTATCTGCCTAAATTACCCAAGCTTGTTTAGGATTATTTGATCATTATAGTTCATTTAGAGCAGCACTTAAAAATAGTTTCCAAAATCTCTGACACATTTGCAATGTTTGGGCATATTTCAGACTGAAATTTTCTGTTTTGGTCAGATAAAAATAATTGATTTACTGAATCTAAATTAATTGCTTTGTTTTCTCTTGCTTATACATTTTTTCTCTTTAAAATTTCATATAGCAAATGAGTACACTATATTTTTTGTCTCTCTAATGCTGCAGTATATAATATGTTGATCTTAGAATATGATCTATATGGTTTTAATGCATTGATTGGATTCAATATTGAATATTGAACAGTTAAATAGTTAATAGCCATTTAACAAAATAGAGAACTAGCCAATGTACATGTAATTTTTTCATGTTGAAATATTTAAATACTTTTCATGTTACACTTTAGCATGTTCCTGTTAATAATTAAAAACATCTTGTACAGATTAAAGGTGACCAGTTCCAAGAAGAAGAAACATGGAGAGATACGCTGTAAGAAATGAGTTAATATCATGAAAATGTGGGAAATAATTTTTGAAAAGTCTGAATCTCAACTTGTGCTTTATAAATCACAACCCAGAAGTAACTGGGGATTCAGCCAGATATCATTAATTGCAGAGGAAGAGAAACTATAAAGACTGAAATTTATGTAAAATCAGTTCACTGGTCTATTCTTTTATGGGAACTATTTGGAACCAATCTGTATCTGCAACTCTTCTCTGGGAAATGAATCGAAGAGCTACAGCAGGTGCTTTAAAGTAATAAGGGATTTCCTGTGAAACCCAGTGGAGGGATGACTCACCAGTTTAATTATGGCTTTCTTCTGTTGTAAAAGCAGGACCATCATTTGTAAAAGGGTCTTGTTGAGTAAATGAGTTCCAACAGAAAATCTTTGATAGGGAAAAGAAGATTCCCATATTTTATTTTAAAGGGTATAAGATTTATAGGGAACATCTTAAGACTACTACTATGATTAGTGTTGTCTGGGTATCCCCAGAGTAACTGCATGGAGCAGCAGTAACTCTTTTGTGCTGTCTGGCTTTGCTTTATTTTGAATTTCTGACTTATCTTTCAGTTCAGCTGTCTGATTTATTTCTAAATTATATGTATATCCCAGACAGACATTTCCATAGTTCATACTGCTTCAAGATGGTTGAAGTGGATTTGGTTTGGTGTTTTCTTTAAAAAGACATAGCTAAAATTACAGTTACTATTTCTTAATTCCATAATACCATTCCTTTTTAGCAAGTTGCATATCCCTGGGAAATAGGGTAGTCTTCACATATGGTGAACCACCTCCTGGGAATTTTACTAATTACTTGGAAAACCACCACTTTTCACCCTATAAAATGAGAGAGAAGATCTTCCATATCCACTGTTTCTCTGCTGTAAGAAGAGACCCCTCAGAACTGGTACAACATCCTGAGATGTGATGAAAATCCAGGGGACCATAAGAGCTGAATCAGAATCGCCGTTTACAATATTTATGGCAAAGTAGCAGTTTCTGGTCAAAATTCCATCGATGAAAAGGAGGGAGGTGCTGATATTTACGGTATGGTAGACAAAAATCTTTAGGCAAAATGGTTCTCTTCAAGGATAGATGGGTCATATAACCCAGCTCTCTGTTTGTTTTCTGGGTTGGTTGGTTGTTTTCATCTGACTTCTCTGCTCAGAAGGAATTAACCTCATTTTACCTGTGTCTGGCACAATGCATCTTCCTGCTATAAGTTAAACTTTTGGTACTTGGAGGGAAAAAGACTCATAGCCAATATAAATCAAGAGAAAAGGGGAAAAAGAAAGCAGCTTAGAAGAGTAGGTGTCATTGATTGACTGTAATTTTAAAGGGTTTTTCTTATGATTGACAAATTCCTGAGATGTTCATTAACTAATGGAATTATGATGGCAAGTGACTGCTGTCTGCACAGAACATCAGGTTAAAAAGTGCAGAGGAATAATGGGTTTTTCTTTGCTGTGGATCAGTCTCCTCACTGTCTGGAGCTCACTCAAAGACACTGGAAAGGATCAAGGAGGTTTCACTGGTGAAATTCCTGTTTATGCTCTCCTCTTCCCAAGGAATTCCTGCTCAAAGCATCAAATGAAGTTGAACATAGAGGGTTAAATAGAAAAAGAGCACCTGGGCCTTAATATATTCAATTACCCAGAAAACAAAATCAGTTTTGTTTTTGTTAATAGCACTGAAATATGCATTACACTATTTTAATTAAAACAGTCTATTACACTTGCCATTCAGCTCATTCCTGCAGATTCCCTTAGGGCAGTAGTCATGTACTGTGATAAAACATAATGAAAATAATTTATAAAGGAAACAATACAATAAATCAATCTGATGCTTAATGAGCCTGCATTACAAGAATGGATACAATATTCTTTTTGAGAATATGTAGTGCATTCTCCTCAAATGACTGGAAGAATGCCCTACAGCACTTAAAACAATAGCACCTTGCTCCATTTCAGCATGCTTTTAATGCACTGCAACTTGCAGTTTAAGCAAATCTTGGCTCAACAAATAGAAATCTCTTTCATTTACACTAGGTTTTTGATTTTTCTGGTTTTTTACCTTTAGTCAGACTCATCTGCCTCATAAGAACACCTGTAGAGACCACCAGGTTTCAACTTAGCTGCATACTTCAGCAGTCAGCTATTTGATGTCTGTATTCCAGAGACCTAAATTAGATCAAAGCTTCTCAGGGAGAATTCTCTGCTACCCATCAGAAGGATGCAAAAATATCAGGAAAAAGATTGCCATTCTTTTTTTTTTTTTTTTTTTTTTTGTATATTCATATGACACTTAGAGACCTTTTGAGTTCAGACATTGATGGAATCTGTGAATCTGTGAATTACCTTTACCCAAGAACTGCCAGGGAATATCTGTCAGTACATAATGTTTCATTCAGTGACCAAATATGTACACAACTGTCTGATTTAGTGCAGTATTTGCCATTTCTGTGAAATGTGTCTGCATTTTGCTATCTGCTGCAAGGTCTGCTACACTTGGAAAAATCCTTCCTTAAGAATTTGATTAGTCACATATTTATAGGAGAATTCAATTGTTGTAGCACATTAAATTGTCCAGAAGAACCAGGGCATCACTAATGCAACAGATGATACAACATAGCCCAATTACTTTGAGAGAGGAGTCACTCAGGGTGACTTGGTGACTTGGCCGTGAATCCTACTGACACAGCTTAGAGATATTCTGCTAAAGGTGCATTAAACTGTTTTTCCAAGCAGGTGGATAAGAGCTGAATAGGGAAAAAAAAAAAAAAAAAAAAAAAAAAAAAAAGAATTCTACCTACTAGAGCTGAATAAGCTGAGATTGGCTGTGAAATTGAAATATTTTGTTATTCTTGTACCTAATTAGTAAATTTGGAACAAATAAAAAGAGCGTGAGATGCAGAGAACTTATACAACAAGTATAAATAAAAAGATGAGATGTGAGATGCAGAGAATTTATACAACAGATTTTCTCTTGATATGGTGTTTCCCCTTTGTAATTGCAGACATGCAAATCATCATCTCAGTTAAATAAAAATTATTTTATTAGATCTTTTACTTTCCTTTAGAAAAAGGAAAAAAAAAGGAAATAAAGTATTAAAATGCTGTCAAAAAGGATTGTCAAATGAGACCTGAGTTGGTCTAAGAGGGGAACAAAAATCCTCCAAATGGTATTTTTTCAAACGCCTTTTGAATTATAACCAAAATTTTAGCATACCTGGAAGTCCTATGTAATAGTTCAGGAATACAATTTACCACTCTGGTTATTATTTTTATGGAGAAAAAAAGAATAGATAGCGAAGAGTGGTTCAAGTAAGTACTATGAAATACCTAAATGCTGCTAGAGAGCAGTTCCAGAGCTGCTGGCTTTTTATGTTTTCTGCCTCCTCTCACACCAAACCACAAAACCTCTCTGGAGCACAAGAGGAATATCTGGGACAAGCTGCAAGAGCAATTCCCAAAGACTTCAGACAGACAGACAGACAGACAGAGGGGGAGGCTTGGCCACCAGCCAGAGCAGCCAGGCAGGAATCCTCTCCTAGGGAATCTGCTCAGAGCTGTATCAGCTCACTCAAAGGCTGGGGCAAACTGCAAATCCCAGCTCACAGCAGGGACAGATTTGGCAGGAGACAACAACCCCTGCCCAGCCCAGCCCTGTCCTTTCAGGAGCAGCTTCCCCCAGCTGCTCAGCACTTTCTGCTGCCAGCCCTGGCACCATTGCTGCAGGCAGCCTTTGCAGGCTCAGCCTCTGGCTCGGGAGAGAAGCTGGAATGCCTTTGGAAGCCTGCTGGCACATGGCATTAGACGTGCCTGAAAAACACCCAGCTCTGCAGGTTACCTGCCTCTGGCAGCTGGGAAAGGCAGGCTGACCATTCTGTGCCTCTGGAAACCACTTCTTGCCTCAAATGTTTACTCCTTTAGCTAAGAGAACAAAAACCTCTGGTTGAATTCGGTGAGCAGATGTGAAATGGTCAGAAAAGGCTCCCAAAGTCTGGTAGGTGACAAAAAACCTGCTGCCCTTATAGGAAGAAAATATAGATAGATGATAGATATTGATATAGAGATAGAGATAAATAGATATAGAAATATAGAGATGATCTATGTATATAGATGTTAGAGATAGACCTAGATATAGATAGATGATATAGATAGAATAGACATAGATATATCTATATCTATCTATAGATGATATAGATATATTTCTGTTCTCATTACTTCAGCCATATGTGGCTTTTTTCTAGGTGAATAATTTCTTTGCTTGACATAAACATTTCTGGGAAAGTGTGTTCATGTATGAAAAATGGCCCTAAATGTGAGTGATTTGAGCTCTTAGCTTTTGCCATGCATTCTCCTCCTCCAAAAAACTGGTTTGTGATTACTTCAGTGCTTTCAGTATGGAAATTAGTGACTTTCACCCACTTTCAATAGCACTATAAAACACACACACACACAAAAAAAAAAGCAAGCTGACCATTCCCCTCAGTGTTCATTCATTTACAGATTAGTTTTATCATTCTAAACAAAGTGGAAGGCATTTGATGTCAGTTGTTTCCCTTTTTCATGATTAATGTAGTTATTGCAGGTAGACTAGAAATGGAGAAGAATACAAAACCTGCAGGTTCACTGAGAAGGCAACTACTAATTACGCCTAATACTGAGCTTCTCTAGAATACAATTATTGTTTGGGCATTTTGATCACATTTCTTGAACTTCTTGGTCAATAAGACATAGAATTTGATGGACTATTCATTCAGGTAAAATAATTGTATTCATATGCCTTATAGTATATTATTTGTGTTTAAGAATGTAGGTGATTTAAGTAATTTTTTTCTAAAAAAAACCCTGGCTATTCATTGCAAATATTCCATTTTATTTCGTCCTTGCAAAGATAGACAGAGGATACACTATTCAGAGGCCAGAGAAAAATGTGTGAAATAAGCTATATTGTAAATTTCATTTTAACTTAATTGAAACATAAAATGATAAAATTATGGAATATGTCAACCTCTGTCAAGCCTTTATGGGACATGGGTGAACTAAAATCCATGACATGGTCAAATTTGGACAACTTTCAATAAGAAAGAAAAAAGAGGTGGGTCTCTGATAAGTACACAGGAACCATTTTCAATCCAAAGGTTG